GGGGGGGGGGGGGGGGGGGGGGGCAGGCGCGCGCTTGTATGTCACACCCAACTCGGATGAATACCCTTCTCCCCTCCCCGTCCTGTCTCCAACCCTCTGCACTCGCTTGTTCCGGGGCATGCATGCCTCCTCTGTGCGTTGCTACCGAGGTGTTATGACAAAAATATAATGGTGAGAAAAACAGGCACCCTGAGGTGCACGGGGAGCCCTCCAACACGCGCGTTTCACGTACGTAGAGCATGCACACACATGACACATGATAGTGCGAGACCCCTTCGCGATGGTGCCACAGAGGACACTAGACGTTTTGGAAGACCCGTGGACTCTCTCCCGCGCGGAATGAACGAATGCTCTGAAGGACTTTTGCCACACGCGTGAACGTGGTTGCGTCTTAGCCAGTGAAGCTGCTCTTGCCGAGCATACATGCACGCCAGGCAACGCTACCGTGTCGCCTTCACACCCATTCGAGCAAGTAGTTTGTGTCGTCGTCCGTTGTCTCCGCAGGCGTTTTTCGCGTGCTGATCACCAACAATCCACATCACCAACAATCTACACGGTGGAAAACCCAGTCGCCCAGCCGCAATCAGACAGCTTTAAACCGTGGTACGCGTGCCGCTGCCGCTGCCGCTGCTGCTGTTGTAACGTATTTGCAGCATCGGTAGCAGGCCGGGCGCAATGCCCATGCACGACTACATGCCGGGATTCATTCGCGTTGAGCCGAAGCCAGGGGCGACCGGGGTAGGGGGCGAATGGTTCGAGTGGGAGATCATCCTCAGCAGGTGTGCGTTTTTGTCTTCGTGTGTGTCTCGATTCATAGCATCGACCATGCTCACCGGCGTGTTTTATGCGCATGTCTTTTTTCTTAGGATCGACCGCGATGACCGGCTGACCAATGGAATCAATGGCCTCCGTCTCGGGGTGCAAGTGATGATCTTTGGGGTCCCGTTAGGGGGAAGGGGGAGGGTCGCAGGGGAGGCTAGGCCATGTATCTCCGATCGTGTTTGTGTTGTTGTTGTTTCTCACATTGTCATTAGCTCTATAGTCCACAAAAAAATGGGGAGCCCGTGGTCTCAAAACCCGGCACATTCGACGCCGCGGGGAAACAATAGCAAAAATAGGGTACAAACCACTCGGAAAAGAAAACAAAACGAGAGAAACAAAAGAGCAGCCACCGCACCGGTCGAGAAAGGAGCCCTAGAAGACCGATCAAAATAAATCAAAATAAGGATGAAGATAAAAAGGAGGACGCTTCCCACACCTGCCTGAAAAATCAAAGGGTAACGTAACAGCACCAGGAACTACGGTGCGCACCAGAGCATAGGAGAAATGGAGCCAACAGAACAAAGAGGCGGCAGATGGGGCAGACAGCCAGAAATAAAAAAGAAAAAGCAACAGTAAAAGGGAGATCAAGGTACTCAGCAAGACAGAGTAGGCAGGGAGGACATGAGAAAAAGAAACACAGCACAGAGGCCGAAGGCAATACAAAGGACATACATAAAGGAGCATAGCATACAGCAGGGAGGGAAACAGGGCGCAACAACATCAGCCGGGTACACAGTTCGCCACAGGTGCTGCCTCGGCCGCCCTACTCGCTTCTACAGCAGTGCCCGGTCGCCATTTCTTCCCCCCCACCGCCGCTTCCCCGGCTCTCTTTCTCTTCGGTCCCGAGTTGGTCGTACTCTCTGCTTCTGCTTCCCGCGCGCGCTGGCGCTTCGCGGACGCTTCCGCCTCCTGCCTGTGCCATTTCCTCATGAACCATGTCGCCCCGTCCTCGACCTTGTTGTACCACACCTCCGGGTCCTTGGCGCTCTCTTTCCATTTCCCCTCTTTCTTTCGTCTCCCATGTTGAAGGCCACGAGGTCCTCTCCTAGACGAGACACCCAGTCGCTCTCCTGCCCGCCCCGGTATCCCACGCCCCCCGTGTGTACGTGTGTATTCGTCCTGAATGGGCATATCGACCGCGCTGCGTAAATGCCCGCCTGACGGAAGAAAATGGCGAGTGTCGGACTTAGTTTTTCGCTTGTGGTTTGCGACGATCCGCCTGTGGTTTGCGACGATACTGACGACTGTTACCTAGGCAAAACCTTTGCATTCTGAACTCTTTGTCCTCACTCCCCATCCATTGTCCCTTTTCGCTCGTGCGGAACACCTTGGGTGGTGGCAGGTTTCGGGGAGTGCACGTGGTGGGAGCAGGCACGTACCTGGGCCTTGAGAAGTCGAGGGTGCTGCCGATCAGCGGAAACAACCAGGTGCGCGTGTGAGGAAACGCCATAGTCTACGCATATTTTTCTATGTAAGCGATCATCCTGGATGAAGTATAGAATCGGCTAAGGTGGGATTAGTGTTAGAGTCTGCGTGCCCCCTGCCTGGTCTTTTAGGGTAATAAACTTACTATATGACCACCTTGGTGAAAATGGAACGACAGAGAGGGCCGATAATGTGGTGCTTGTTTCTCAACGGTTATTTCCCTTCATTGCGAAATTGCGGAGCGGAAGCGGATATTCTCGGTTAGCCTTTCACCCTCCCTCCCCTCGCCTCGCCAACTCCGGACCATGGTTTGCAACAACAATAGTTTACTGTAGCCGGTTGGTTCACACAACATAATAATGTACTCCTGGCGTTGACAGCAGTTATTCTTGTGGATCAGTTGCCGTGGCGTCTTGCGCGACCATCAGCATATTGCTCGCACCTCCCAAAGTTCCGTCGTAATTTGTTGTCCGCCAACGCCTGCAACGACGACGACGACACGACGGCGATGACGCCCAATGAACGAGGCAGGGCTTTTGGATGGCGACACAGGAGCAGCTCAAGTACCTCTGTCGGCAGTGCCAGTACCTCAGGTACGCCGAACAGTCGTCCGATCCCTTCGTGGAGAAGTTCAGCGGCAGCCTCGAGATGTTTTCCCCGCCGTGCCACACAACCAAGGTGAGTTTTAGCCCCCCAAGTATAGCCTAGAGGATGGCTGATGACCGTCAAATAGTTTACTCAGTCGAAAAATGATGCACGGACGAAGGCAAATACGGGCGGCAAGAGTATGAGAAGGTGACGGACGGAAGAACCGGCTCGATGTCTGCTTTGCCTTGTCTTCGAAGTACAACAGTAAACAATCTTGAAAAGAACGTATCAAAGCGGTGGTGCTGAAAATCCCTTTTTTTGGTTCCGTGGACTAATAAATGCAAAAAACGAACACAGGTGTTCCCCGCGGAGCGTTTCGAGAATCTTCTTGTGCACCACCGGACCAACAACAAGAACGGACAGAGGGGAGAATCAGTCCCAGCTGTGCCCGTCAGCATGCTCCGGCTGTGGGCGGCCCAGGTGGTGCGGGACGGTGAGATGTTGATGGAGGTCGGGCAAACCGGCCGACGATGACCAAGCTGTATGGTAACCGTGGTAGTACCGTACCGTAGTACCATGGTATCTACCATGGGTCTGTATGGTCCTATGGTACCGTTTGTGTTGGCGCCTTCACACGTCGCCTGTGGCCCGACAACCAAGCTGCTGGTCGAGGGAGGGTGATACCAGGCCGCCGACAATCCAAATTTCTTCCTCGGAAAAAAACAGGCGAAGAGAGATACGGTAACAGCACCATCCCTAAAACCGTCATTCGCTGTCGCGTGCGCGCACACGCACACTTTTCCAAGTGTTGCCTGTATACAGGGATCGTGTGTAAGGATTTGACGGGGGAAAAAAAATCGTAGGTTTTCATACCTCTCATTTGTCTTGATTGATCGTGCTTTTTTTGTCGTTGTGTTTCACCATTTATAGTGGTGATGTTTTCGATAAGGTACAGAGTTGGATCACGAGAGGCGTCGACGGAATCGGTAGAATGCGTGTGTGCGTTTAGGATGCGCGGAGGGCCGGAACACCAGCCGCTGATAGCCCTCCCCACCCCCTACCCCCGTCTGACTGTGTACAATACGTTGAGAGCTCGATAACACACGTCGGTAACGGGGGTGGAAGGAGGAAAGGAGGGAAACTCCGCGAGCTTGAGTGTCAGTCTACATTGACATTGCGTTGTGACTTGCCTTGGTATGTATGTTCTACATGCATGAGGTGGGCTGCCCCTTTCTAACAGGTGCAGAAACGTCCCATGTGGATTTCAGATTTGCCGCACATCATCTGGAGAGAGGGGCGGGGGGTAATTTGTTACAATGTTCATCAATTATCGGGGCGACGGGGTTTACATGTGTGCGTGTTTCGTTGTCGTTCTTTCTCTGCGTGTATGCTAGTGGTTTTTGGTTTTGTCGTGGGCTTGTTTTCAAGTTTCGTGTACGAGGGGGCGGGGTTTCTTCTGATGATACACCGCGCATCATGACACTTCATGAAACGGAGCTCTGCTGCTGTATGGGGTTTTCACCTCATGGGCAGGCGCCACACCGAGGGCTCGTGTGAAGGGGTGGCGGGGGGTGGGGCGGGGCCGACCATGTTGTCGACCGAGCCCCTCCGAAAGACAGCAGAGAACCTGAACTGTCACTGGACAGAAGTCGACACACAGCAGCTGTACGTAGATATCGTTTCACACACTCGAACGAGTTGACGTAGGCTTGTCTCTCGGTTGGCGTATTGTGTTCGTGTCTCCCTGATCATTGGTGTGTTCCGCAGACGGATGTGGGATGTGCGTTCCTTTCCCAGTACCTATCGATCGGGTCGCTTGTACCCTGTGTTTTGTTGTGGTGGGTGGTCATTTCGTTGTCTACTGTTGTTGGTAGGAGTTTCTGTCGTTGCTTTTTGCGTTATTCCTGCTGTCGAGTGGTGCGTGGAAAGTCAGGCCGAGGAAAACCTAGCGGGTCTGGATGCGAATGCCGCAGTCCCACTCCTGCTGTGGTTTTCTTTATGTTTTTCTGTTCCAAGCACACCCTCCGCTCGGAACGAACACGTTGTGGGTGAGCTAAGGTCGTGGTCATGGTGGTAGTTTGTGCATTGGCAAGCTGGATTATATTAGTAAGCAAATGCCGTGCGCGGTCGGTTTTGATCTGCCCATCATCGTTGAAAGGTTCGTGGTGGAAGTGCCCCGCTCGTGCATTGTTGTCCTACGTGTGGGCCAGTGTTCTTCCTTTCCCAGCTCGAGGGGGCCAATATATTATAACTGACCGATCGTTTGTGTGAATCGTGTTTGCATACGGAACAATACGTGCCTGGGGCTCCTCAAGTCTCGTCGTTTGTCGAAAGGAAGCATCATCAGTCGCTCCCCACGTTCTTTCTCGTGGAAAGAAAAGGTGGCAGAAAGAGAGTACTATGGGAGATTTGAGAGCGCCATAAAAGGCCCCCCGGCGGTATGTCCGTGCGAGGTGCGCATGTGCAGCACAGCGGTGTGAGAGCGGAGTGGTGGATGCGTTGGGTGATATCTGTGAAAGGTTTTGCTACGTTGGAATGACGCGTTTGTTTTATATTTACCCGGGTTATGTTCTGTGGGATGTTTTGCGTATTGTTTGTCGGCGAGGCCCCAACACAAAGCGGGGGTGGGTGTACTCATAGTCGTGCATGCCGTAGTCGTAAGACCATTGACCTCACATCCCTACAAAGCCGGGACGGAGCACGCCGGGTTCTCACCGGACCAGGCTCTCACATCACCAAGCGCGAAGCGCCGTGAGATATTCGGCGAGTCGCATGAAGGGTGCGCTGCATCCTGCTAAGGGTTTTCGGCATCTTGTGCTTACTTCCTTGCGTACGGATGACAGCTGCGTATGAATTGATTTATTTTCTGGTGCTTTCACTTCCAGAGACAGTTGTAAGCACTGTGTAACTGCCTCGAGGGTGCTTGACCATTTTAACACAACGTGGTGCGATCATCCCCCTTGCGCGGAGTGAGGGTTCTCCACCCCGCACAACATGATCTACTCGACCACCATTATGGTTACCGCCAAAAAAAAAAACGGAGGTAAAAAAAAAAAACGGTAACCTGGTTGCCGAGTTCACGAAGTGAATTGGCTCGTTTTACAACGTCGTTGCCAGGAGAAGAAAACCCAATCCCGATGGTAAACACCGAGGGGGGGGGGCTTGTTTTACAACGTCTTTGCCAAGCGACGAAAACCCAACCTCGATGGCAAACGCCGGGGGGGGAAGCGGGGGTGGGGGGTGGGGCAAAGAGCAGCCGGCAGCTGAGCAGGAGACACGAAGCAACAGTTTGCCGAAGGCCTCCACCATTGCATCAACCCCCCGCGATTGACGGCAGGCTTTCGCTTGCGCCGGTAGCCCCCATTGTGTTTGTCCGCGAGTGCCTGTGGCGTGTGTCTTATTTTTTTGTGCCTCTTGAACTTTTCCTGTTTTTTTTTCTTTTTGTCCTTTCTCATTTTTCCCGGATGGCCTTCTCTCTGTCTCTGTGAAGTACCACGATTGGACCAGGGGATATACCTCTCCCTCTCTGGCCTGTGATGTTGACTTCCAGTTTAATTTCTGCCTCACATCGCGTGTAGAGGGGAGCGGAGGACTCCAGACTATCTGTGAATTATTTCAATTGGCTTGATGACCCTTCGGGTACATTTTGTTTTGAGTATACCAACTGTGCATCGCATATGACAACGGGAATCGACCGGTCAACTGTTTGATCAGTACGGACAGATGAAGGTACTGGGTAGAGAGATCGGAACGGTTTTAAATGTGACGACAACGACGACAACAACTACTTCCTACACGGCGCATCAAAAGTTCGTCGTTACGCTTCTCCGTAGCAAAACATGTCGCCGTGGTCTTCCACCCTATATGCCTACATATCCCCACCCATCTCGTTGACATTACCATAGACTATAACCTATAATTTTGTTTCACCCCCAACCGCGTTAAACTGTACGCATCAGTACCCACGCCTGGCTCGCACCGTAGCCGCATTTTCGACCCAAAAACTTATGCCCTCCCGTCCTAAGATCCTGTTGCACATGATGATTTTCATTGAGTGAGGCGCTGACACCAAAAACAAGAAATAAATACAGACCCCTCTTCCTTGTGTCATTGCTGCTTGTGTACTCAGTGCCGCCGCGGGCCTCGTGTTCATCACAGCTATTCTAGCGGCCTCAACGGAGCTCGCTTGAGTACGAAAAGACGTTTTGTTCGTAACGAACGGAAAGAAAAACAACCTCACCCCTGCTGCTTCGTCTTTTGTTTCGTCGAAATGGGAACAACAAGGCGAAAATCTTGAGCGAGGAATGACCGATGTCTTACTGCGTACAGAAAATAGGGGTACGCAGACCAACCCGTCGTCGTTTGTGCATAAGACCTATCACGACTCGAACGACAACAGCGTATAGACGAATAGTACTGTAGTCTCCGTTCACAAAGCCAAACGAGCAACGAGTGCATCACCTGCAGCAGACTTCAAGGGCTGTGCAGGCCACCACCACTACGTAGGGCCATCGTCATGATCTCCCACTTCGCTTCGGCGTCTCTGTTAAGCCCGAAAGAATGTTGTGCCGTCTTGACAATGCACGCGGTCAAGACGAATGGGCGACCTAGAGTAAAAGGTAGCCCCTCCTGAGAACATTCCGCCTCCCTCTTCCCTCCGTCCCCGTCCCATACCCTCATCACTCCGTCGAGTTGGCCGAACCCAGCCAGCTACAAGCATGAGCAATACCGCTTTTTCCGCCCCTTGCTGGTGAATTTTGGCAACCTGTATGAACTTGAGGCATTGCTCGGTCTCTTGTCGCTGTGCTAACACTACCCTCATTTTCTCTCCAATCCCTGTCCTCTCGCCTCTTCGACCCTCGGTCAAAGTGGGAAGCGGAGTTTCGTCTCCAAAAGCATTCAAACACCAACAAGAAGACAAGAAACAAGCATGATCGGTCGCGACGACACGCTCTCTCCCGCCGCCCATCCCCGTCATGAACAAGCGCCAAACAACAGCAATAGCGACAACCGTGTTCTGGCCAACAGGATCGAATCGGGAGTTAACTGAGTGGAATCAACATGGTACGTGTCAGAGGAAAGGGCATCGGGCCATCGGTACACCAGCTACCTCCTTCGTTCGGGTTCCTAGTGCATGTGAGACAACAGCTTGTTAACCCCCCGCTCCCATACACACTCCATGCAACTCGCCGAATACCTCACGGAGCTTCGCGCTTGGTGACGTGAGAGCCTGTTCCGGTAAGAACCCGGCGTGCTCCATCCCGGCTTTGTAGGGATTCGAGGTCAATGGTCCAATGACTACGGCATGCACGCCTATGAGTACCCTCCCCCCTGCCCACCGATACACCACCAGACACTTTCAGTTCTACGGTGGTTGGAATGGTCTTGGGGGGGGGGGGGGGAATAGTCCCGGGCGGGAGCAGATCACCACTGTCTGCTAGACTCCGGTTGTGACACACCACTAGACACTTTCAGTTCTACGGTGGTTGGAATGGTCTTGGGGGGGGGGGGGGGAATAGTCCCGGGCGGGAGCAGATCACCACTGTCTGCTAGACTCCGGTTGTGACACACCACTAGACACTTTCAGTTCTACGGTGGTTGGAATGGTCTTGGGGGGGGGGGGGGGAATAGTCCCGGGCGGGAGCAGATCGCCACTGTCTGCTAGACCCCGGTTATGGTTTCTTCCTGTGCGGAGACGCGCCTCTGTTAAAGATGCCATGAATCGCATCATTGACCGACCCGCGTTCAGTTGGCGCTTTCCATTCGTTGTCTAACCTGGGCAACCTGAGATTTGTTTGTTTCAGTAGATAAGGCCGATGCCGGGGTTGACGGCAGGGGGCGTGCAATGGTAGCTTATTTTGCAAAAGGTCGTCACACATCCGTTTCTGGACGGAGCACCGCTCTGCTTCTCTCTTTGCGTTATTAGCAATCAGTTTGTTACAAAAGGCTAGTCCCTGTTCCCCGTTCCATTCGACATAGCGAACTTCTCTCAGTCCTTCTCGGCCAGGAGGATATCGAATGCCGTGGGTAGAGCAAAAGCCCCTTTCGCATTCCATTTCGATACTACAGTGCCACGACAAAGCCGCGGAACGCAGCACCGCGTATGTAACCGTTTCCCACCAAAGCACAGGACCAACAACCCTTGCAAGCTCGAGAGGCACCGTGAGATGTGAGATTTGCGGAGTGCAAGTTGCGCATTGCATCACCAACGGTTGGGCTTCAGGACCGTTCCCACATCGAGTACATACATGCCCCGAGACCCTGCTAGACACACTTTTACTACATAGATACAATAGCTCGCCTCCTCGGCTGTGTACTCGACTGACGTTATTGAGGGCGATAGGAAGGGTGGGGGTAATCTTGCACAGCCCTAGAATATCACAACCACCGGGGGTGGGGGTGGGATGGGTGGGGAGAGGGCTACTAAGGCTGTGTGCACCTCACTCACCAACTTCTTGTCGGCTTCCAACTTCTTGACTAGATCGCTGTTCATCCGGTATTCCGTGTCGCTCATGTCAAGCTGAACGCGACGGGCCCTCGTCTCCTGCACTTGGATCTCGAGATCCTTGCGGTACCTGAAAAGAGAGAGGTATGCGGCGCTATCAACTTCAAGAAGCTTGGTGGTGGTGGTGGTGATGGTGTTGTTTTCGTCGGTTTTATGACGATTTCGTTTAGTCGTTATCGTGCTTACTTGTCATCAGCATCGTTGGGGAATTGACAGCTAACAACGCATTATTGCGGCAGGCACGTAGATCCTGGCATTCTGTGTTGTTTCCCGCAGTAGGTCCCCTTGATTTCGTTGAAGCGTTGGCTACGTACATGGTGCAATTACTCTGTCTGACGCTTCTTGGCAACATGAATTGACCAGACCCCCAAAACGCTCACAATACTGCGTGGTACATCGCTACCCATAGGCACGATTCTAGGTGTACCCACTCTCTTACGGTTGTTGCTGCTCTCCGCGTGGAAAGTAGTTTAACCTCCTTGCACCATGTACGACACCTCGTATGTTGCTCACACCCAACATTAGGTAATCCATTCGGAAACCGCGCGCACGTACAACTCCCCAACACGTAACCACAACCCATCATTGTTTACGTACTTCGCCATGGCGATTCTCTTCTTGGTGATCTTGTCTCTCTCCTCCTGCCGGTACGCCTCCGAGTCGTTGATAAACCTACGAGAGATAGTACATCCAAACGTATGTGCCCAAAAACACGCCCAGGGGGGATTTTGAAACCGTCCTCAGTGAGATGCAAGCACAACCACTTCTTGGAACAGCGTACTTCGGTTTTGATGACTAGCCTTCCTTGTGTATCGGATGGTAACCCCAACATGTGCGCACGTACTTACCAAAGGCGGCAACGACGTCCCGCGAGGAACAAGGATTGTACTGCCTGCCCCCCCTCACCCCACCCTAGCGCGATGAAAATCGCCCCCCTCCCGCTTTGTAGACAATCGGCGGTGTCCACGTCGAAAGGCACGCCTACCTTTGAGCGAACTCCATGTCTTCTTTGTGTTTCTTGGCGTTGAGGGCGTTCTTCTCTTCGATCACCTGGCGGGGTCGTTTTCGAAATTTATTTGTGAAATAATTACGCAGATGTTCGATTTTCCGGTGGAAGGGATAGTGATGGTGGTTGT